AGTGTACTATGGCTCTGTGCCACAGCTGGACTTGAGTAATTTGAACCACAAACTCTTGAAGTGGCTGATGGCATGCTACCTTCAATACAGAAGCAGAGTATCTGTTTTTGCGTGACCAGGAAAGTGCTAATAAGTGTTAAGTGTCTATTGGCAAATACTGTTGTGATTGCAAGGCAATTGTTGCTTTCTTTAAAAAACAAACAAAAAACCTCTCTAACTTTGTTTTCTATGATTTTACTTATTTTAATTATTTAATGCTAGGGTTCTTCTTCATCTGGAAGGAAAAGAAAGGCAAGCACGTCTTTGACTGATGAGGAAGGTAGGTCACTTTTCAGAATTGTTCATCTATAGCGTAGTACATAAATTGTATCTTAAAACCCTGAAACCACAGGTTTTCAGTCTGTTACTGCATAGATGCAATGCTTTTCACAAACCAAATACCAACCCTCAGTCAATTAGATAGTAGATTTTCCTTAAAAGAGCTTCAGGGAAAATTTGAAAATAAAATTTTCCCTGAAAACACACTGCCATCATTGTTGGTGGATTTTAATTCTTTCTGTCCTCATTCCTTTGTTTCTCAAACCTTCCTAGTGGTCTTAAACTTCTTTTGAGGATTTCAGACTGAATAACCCATCTACTTTAGTTCCTTTCTTGTGATGACATCTGTGTCATGTTTCTGACAAAGACAATCCCCAGTTTAAAGCTACAGAATAACCTGTTTCTGTTGGCCATTGTCAATCAACACTTAACAGTTCAAGACTGCCTGTTGTCCTGAGGCAGAAGTGCTTGTCTCCTTTTCACTTACCTTTTAAGTTCTATGTATAGCTGCTCTCAGATTTTCTTGTTTTCTGTACGTCTCATTCTTTTTGAAGCCTGCTAACTTATAATATTCTATGCTAGTACTCGTCTGAGGCATATAATTACAAACTTCCTGAATTATTGTGTAATTTGAATGCCAAGGTTAGCATTTGTTTTTATTTTAGTTGAAGATGAAGAAGAAACAATTGAAGAACAAGAAGCTAAAGAAGGAAACATAAATCATCAAACTGAATTATCTAATCTCGCCAAAGAAGGTAGGTGTGTAGCTTGATTCCTCTCTGTGGTGGGCTCTGAAACAACAGGTGAAAACATGCAGCAGTTATTGTATTTGCAAATAGGGTTATAGATGAGAAGTTAAATGCATTCAGATGTTTAGTCATATGTAATCGGTATTTATTTTTTTCTGTTTGGAAAGTTGTAGTGGGTAGTTTATGGGATGATGATGGACATCTGTACTTTATAAAGCGGTCCGTATACTTAACTAGTTATCACACAAGGTAGCTTGAGAAAGGGTATTTCTCTACTGAAGCGCTGCATTTCTTTAAAACCTCACACCAAAAGACTCTCAACCTAAGTTCTAGGAATGCATGATAAATACTTAAAACCAGAAGTGTATCAGATCGAACATAAACATTTTGTCATCCACTGTCTTGAGTATCTCAGAAGGGTTGTGTGACCCACCTGATAAGTCTGAAAGGGCCCTGAAGTGCTGATCTTGGGGGGTATAAATACTTGAAGATAAGGGGCTTTTAGGGACAATGTTCTGGCTAGCAGCTGTCTTTCATCAGCAACATAACAATAACTGCTGTGCTGAGCTTGATGCATGCAAAGTATCCCATAGGGATCACTTCACTTGTCATGGCAAAAACCTTGCTGATTTTTAGAGGCGAGCTTCCCTTTAAGCTAAACCTGCCTGGCAATTAATATGCAGTTTCCAAATCCGTTTGTTTGGTCTGTTTGGCAGCTTAGTGGCTGCAGCCAGCTGGCCAGTTGGAGGGATTATAACTCTTGGCCAGTCAGCCAAGTTCCTAATGAGGATGTTCCTGATTGATTGGCCACCGCCAGTATGCACATTCCTCCTTCCAACAGATCAGACAAGGGATCATGGAGATACTGTTTGGTGGGGTTGAGGTACAGTTCAGTTTTGAAACTTTGAAGTCTTGAACTGTCTTTCAGCCACTCGGCTGGATTTGGTGCCCCCAACCAGTGGTTTATGGTATGGTGGGTTTGTAACATAGTAAAAAGCAAGCTGGATGAGCAAACTGCTTGGTGTAACGCCAAGTGTTCTCTGTAATCGAGGACATAAAATGAATATTGCCATCATCCACCTAATAATTACCCCTTCAATTAACTTCTGATTAGAGAAGTGGCTTTATACAATTGTGAAGAGTGTAATGAGATTAAAAACAATGGTATTGATTGTTACGAGTTTTGATATTTTTAAACTTGCATCCTTTAATGACCTTCAGCTGAATTGCCTCTGGAAGATTTACTAAAGATGTATGAAGGTGCCTTTGCAGAAAATTTTCACTGGCCTCAGCCGAAGCCTGACAGTGAAGAGGATAGCAGTGAGGAAGGTAAATTACTTTTTGTTTAGAAGAAGCTGTACTGACTTAGAAGGTGAAATAAATGGATTGGCTCTTCAGGTTTCTGTTAAAAGACATTTTATACTAGGAGAAAACAAATATTGAGTGAATTGCATTTAAAATGTTTTTTATTTTTTAAGTGAAGAAGAATGTTATGTACGAGAATGAATGGAAAGTACAGTGGCTTTCTTGCTAAGCATTTAGAATGAACATTAGAAAAATTAGATTTATTCCTGTTATTACTAAGTATTTTTGGATAATGGTCTGTGAAGAATTTCTTCCTTTTTTTTTTTCATTTCTCAGTTTATGAAAAGAGGGTAGTGTTTGCCTATCTTAAAGTCAAGATGTGTGAGATTCTCAGGAATAATAGTGAGCCATAGAAGAGCCACTCTACACTGAATTGAACAGCACACTTCATAGCTAGCTATTATTACATAGTTGCCATCTGTTCTGTATTGGAGTGTTGATAGAATTACAGATTTGAGGATAGGTTTTAGGTAGTATGAGAGGACCTCCCTAGAAGTTGTGAAAAGTTAATGGTCATGTTAGCCTAGCTAGTGTGAACATCCAGAACATATATGTGATCCTGAGCTTGGGCTATTTTCATTTTAGCTTGACTAGCTTGAAAATCATAGAATTGTTTAAAAGTTAGCTGCCTCCTTTTAGACTCCTGTCTGAATTCTAGCCATCTCAATTCCTTTGTGTAACTGATACTTAAGTTTATTTTAAATGCTAATGTAATTTTTCTCTCTCATAGAAATGGAAGACCATATCTCTGATAGGGAAAGTCCTCAGAAGGAAGTTGTCCTAATAGACTCCCTTCTCAGCATTGACCAGTATAAGGGTATAGACAGATCAAGTCCTCCAAAGAAGCATATGCGAGACATATCAGAAGTTGCTGCTGCAGCAGAAATGCTGTTACCTAAAGGCAGCTCTAGGATAACAACAGCGGTAAGACTCCCTATTTTCTGCTACTATGTGTGCTTACTTCTACAAAAAGAATGCTTTTTTCATGATTTCACAGATTTTAGCAACAAACTACAATAAATATTTTCTAGTTATTGAACTACAAAATGGTTATGCTTTGTGACATGCTCCGTGAATTTAACTCGGGGAAAAAAGTATCGAATCATTCACATTACAGGTAAAATACAATACTCCATCGCTACTGTATGGGCCTCTCAGAGAATATCAAAAGATTGGGCTGGATTGGTTAGCAAAGCTGTACAGGAAGAATCTCAATGGCATTCTGGCAGATGAGGCTGGGCTTGGAAAAACAGTACAAATTATCGCCTTTTTTGCCCACTTGGCTTGTAATGAAGGTAAGTTCATTTGTCTAACAACTTTAGACAGATACTGGGCCAGCAGTACCTTTGTGAATTGTAGCCTAGGGTCACATTTTTTTCTGCTGAACTGTATCAGACTTTAGTTAATGCACAAAGTAAGATTATGTCAGAAAAACTTTCTTAGATTGTGTGACATAAGGGTGCCTTCTTACCAAGTATACCGTTTGATCAATCTGCTGTTACCTTCTAGGTGATAAAATTCTTCTGAAGCCTAGTTTATTAGTATAAAAAAGCCTTACAAATTGTTTAACGACCAGATGGCCACAGATAGTTAAATTCAAGGAGTAAATACGAACAGGTGGTCAAGTGTGTCTTGTATATCATGCCAGGTATTACTAATAGTGGTGGTGTTGTCAGGATGGTTTAAGAATATAAGTAAGGCAAAGCTTGTTGTGGAGGTAGTATCTCTTATTCAAGCAGTTGATGTAGTTGAGGGAAAAATAGATATTAGGTGCACAAGGGGTACTTGAGGTCTGAAAAATAAAAAAGAATAGATTATTCATTAAAATACCTTTGTTTGTTGTTATTGGATCTCACTTTTAATGATGAATTTAGTGCACTGCACTTAAAAAATCAGGGGAGACTATAAGCCACATGAATTGTCAGGAGTCTCTTTCTACTGTTAACTCCTATGTTTCCCCTTCTATAGGTAATTGGGGCCCTCACCTTGTTGTTGTACGGAGCTGTAACATACTGAAATGGGAGCTGGAATTGAAACGCTGGTGCCCAGGGTTGAAAATACTTCTCTACTTTGGCAGCCAAAGAGAACTTAGGGCAAAAAGACAGGTACTGTATTTTGCAACTCTTACACTGTCATATTTAGCATTTTAGATGGCAAGACTCTTCCTTTAACCTGCATTTATCTATGTGTTTCTTACATCCTTATGGGGTATGAGAAGTTTTTAAAACTACAAGTTGGTTTACAAAGAGTTTCACACCTAAGAGTTCTAGAATTTCAAAGGCATTTTTGGAACTCCCTTGGTATTGAGCAATACATGCAATACTTAGCCTGCTTTCTGCAGTGACTATAATTCAAAGACTGAGACTGTCTTTTAGAATGCTTTGGGTCATAGCATCTTTCTGTTCTTAGTGAAGAAATAGCTGCTTGTAAGATATTTGAGGGTTCTGCCGTAACTTTTCTGTCTCATCCTCCCTTTCCTTTTCTGTAGGAATGGACAGAACCCAACAGCTTCAATGTGTGTATTACTTCATACAAACAACTGTTCAAAGGCCACCCAGCATTTATGAAAATGCGATGGAAATACTTAATAGTAGATGAGATGCAACAAATAAAGAACATGACTGAGAAACACTGGGAGGCACTTTTCAGTCTCCGCAGGTATGGAGCAGAGAATTGTTTTCCTGCTGGCAGTGGGCTTTTCTCTCTTGATGTCACACAGTTCTCTCTTTAGCAGAAGGCTGCTAAAAATCCTCTTGATTTGGTCTGGCCAAATTCCTGTGCAACATGCACCTACAGACGTGCCTTTAGTTGAAACAATCAGGATTCACAGACACGCTGAGGATCTTTTTGTTGCCACTATCGTAACACTGCAATTCTTTTTTGCTCCCAAATGGATCTCCTTGTATGTTCTGATACTTTGCAATGAGAAAGCTAGTTTGGTGGTATATTCAAGATAATTTATCCTAGATTTAATTTTATTAGGACTACTGTTTCTTCTGTGTATCTGACAAACCTAAAGCTAGAGTAAACAGTGTTTGAATATTGGTGTCCTTTTCATAATGATGCTAGCTAAATGTTGTATCGGTTAAGAATCTTCTTTTATTATTCACAGCCAGCATCGTTTGCTTCTGATAGACACTCCTTTGCATAACACATTGATGGAGTTGTGGACCATGGTACATTTTCTGATTCCGGGAATTTCCAGACCTTATCTAGATTTTCCAGTAAAAGCAGCTAATGAGGAGAACCAGGATTATTGCCATAAACTGGTCATCAGGTTACACAGAGTATGTTGTCATTTTTTCTCATCTGTCCTACTACAGTAGTTAAGCTGTTGGGGGAAAAAAAAAAAGGAAGAAAGGAAAAGATGTGGTTCACCTCGAAATTTCTGGCCTTTCTTAAC